GCTTGGTTTCAGTTTCGCCGTAAACAACATCTTCGCCACACTGATGCTCTCGTTTTCCGCAATATATTGAATGAACAACATAGCAGCGCCGCATCTAGTGGGTTCAACTGGATAGGCTAACAAAAGCATTAAAATGCAAATGACACTTACATTGTCGTTGCATTTCGCGCGCCACTGATAAGGCTGCCTGACGGCTGACGCAGACCTAAAATTCGAATGCAACGTTTTTGCATTCAAAAGTGGATTTTTTTTTTTTTTAATTCGACGAATATTCGAAATTCAAATTTTTTTGGACAGCCCTAATAAGAATCAAGCTGTTTAATCCAAGCTCGTATCTCTTCACAAAACTTATGACATCTTTATAACCTTTTTGGATCTTTTAACTTTTGGCTACCTGGTTTGGAACAACACAAAGGTAAGTGTTTTTTTTTTTTTGGTGAACAAACCCTATAACAAAAGCATGTTTTTATAACTGAATGTGTAACTGACCATTTAAATCAACAAACACTGGTTGGCCTTTCAGGACATTATCCAAAGAAACACTTCAGCACACCAGCAAAGCACTGACAACAATGTTCTTTAGCATTACACTAGGCTTGCCGCGATAGTCGGTGCTGACGGTGATACCGGTGTTAAGACGTAACACCGGTTAAGTCACTTACCCACCACGTCACCGACCCCCACCGTCGTTTTGATTTTTTATAGTAATAAAAATCATTTAGTTCAGTAAAAGAACAGACACTACAATTAAAAACTGAACGCGGCTGCTCAATGCAGCGTGCCGAACGACAGTCGCATCACAGATCAAATTTCATTTATCCGGTGAGGAGAGTGAGTTGAGCTGACTGACAAGAAGAATATTTGTTTTGTTAATAAAAGTTCTATGTTTTATATATATGCTAAAGTGAGTTTGACGTTGTATTTTGTTGTTGCGTTTAAGTAAATGACGCCGAATTGCCGCTATTTCAAAGTGAAAATAAAATGCGCACACCGCTTTTACAAGCTATTTAAAAGCGAAGAAAAAGAGGGAATGCCCCGCCCCCGCGGTGATGCCGGTATTACCGGTGTTGTCACACGTCGATTAACCGGTGGGAAAATTTCCTCACCGTCACAACCCTACATTACACAAAGTCATCAATCCTCTTTTGTTCATAAAACTAGTGTGTGTATAAATGTATTATGAGAATTAATGCTGTGGAAGCGACAACCGCCTACTGAGTTACTGACAGATCTTGATGTGATCTAAAGGCTACTGTAACAGCAAATAGGAGATAATTACAGACAAACTGTCAAAAGCTCTCAATATTTCAGACAAGCCTTAGCAATTACGTTCATCAAGATTGATTAAATACAATGAACACAAGTGCATTAGAAGACTACATCAGTCAAATTACGGAGTAGGCAGCATTGAAAAAAACAGTGTACAATGGAAAACATTTAGGATGATGGTAAATGATAAATTTTTTGTAGAAGTGGAATGTATTGATTTATGTCAATTGTGAACTTGACCTATAAAACGATTTTCGAATATTCAATTAGTTGAATTATAGAATATCGAATAGGTTGTGCGATTATTGTCTTAAAAAATTCCCCATGTTTTCCGTGCTGATGCGCTGGTGCTCTGTGATGTTCATGTAACAACGCACCTAAAAGCTGTCAAAGACAACAGAAGAACACAATTTCTCGCGCGCACACTGTTGACTTGCGTGGCATAAAAAAAGACTTAGACGTAGCATATAACGGTTACAGTAACTTGGGATGATGTCAAGATGTGTTAAGAGGTGTGGCTGAATTCGTATTCAGAAAGGCGCGGAAAACAAATAACGCGTTTTACGGAGCCACTAAAGGGACATGATGTTTAGCTGCTTGCTAGCGGTAGCCTGTTACCTTACATAACATTTCACTTACCACAACAGAGTAAGGAGAGATGACTGATAGGATGATGGCGAATGTATTGCAGATCCTGAGCACCACCGACTAATATCTAATCTTGTAAAATGTGTGGTAAGTACTGCCGAGTGCTGCTCCGTACGTGTGATCGCGAATCTCGAAAGTGAAAGTAAAAAACAAGCACGCGTTCATAAACGATTTCAATGCCCCGTATATTAATAACAGCTCCCTGACGCCCGCAGTTTATATACAGTATATTTACCCAATGATATAATTGCGAAAGAAGATACTGAAGTATATTTTTCCTCCCATCTCGTAACTATTCCCTTTGGGGTTCCATTTTTTATAATGGAAATGTCCTAGCCTTATGAGCAGTTGATTTATGCTAATCGACAGACTGTTATGTTAATAAGTGCCGTCATTCGGTTATGTTTATTATATTAATATGTTTCAGCACGTTACAATCATTATGGCTTGAGTTAAGTTAGCCTATCTTCTGAATTAAACGGTTTATCATACAGATTGAAAGCTTGAATCCCGTCTCTCCTCCTCTCTCTCTGTTTATGGGTGTTTGTGCGTGTATGCGGGGGAGGGGTGCGGTTTTCGAATAATAGTCGAATAATACCCAGCGATTTTCGAATATTATTTTTGCTTGTAATGCCCATCCCTAATGCAAAATTTATGGATGCGCAGCAGGTGTGTGTCCAAATGCAGAATAGTGATATATGCTTTGAACCTGCTGGGGTCAAATCCAATTTGAAATCAACTGGTAAACAATTTCTGATATTTCTTACCAACATTCACACCTTTCTACTTCATTAGTACTGTCTAAACCTAACGACAAAAGTGTTTACCACAGACCACTATGCTTATGCAAAGTTAAGTGATATGACATTCGTTACGTGATACGTGGTTATTAATAATACAATAATCATAATGCATATTTAGTTACTGTTTTAGTCTAATTACTTCTTACCAATATACACAACCACTACCATTCAATTTTCGATATTGATACCGATACCTTGACTTCGATACCGGTTCCTGAACGACACTTTTTTCGATACCAATTTTAACAAGATCACATTATCTAAAAAAAAAAAAAAAGACGTTTTTCGATACTCGATGGTATCGAGGCATTTCGGTCGGTGCCTAAAAAGTATCGAACTCGATACCCAACCCTAGAAATTATTCTAATATGCTGATTGAAGCGTACGCTCAAAAACCATTTTATTATTAGCAATGTTGAAAAAAGTTCTGCTGCTTAATATTTTCGTGAACACTGTGATACATCACTATTTCCTAGATCAGGGGTTCTCAAAGTCTATATTCAAAGGTCCAAATCTGATTTTTCATCAGTGTCAAAGGTCCGGACCGGAACAATTGGTTATTACAAAACTTGTTTTTAATAAACATACATAACATGCATAACAAATAAACATTAATTTTTTTTTTTAATTAAGTGCAAAAGTGGCAAAACAATTAATTTAAGTGTCAGCAATAGAGGTCGACCGATAAGGGTTTTTCTCTGGCCGGTGCTGATATTTAGAAATCAGGGCAGCCGATGGCCGATATATGATGCTGATTTTTTGGCCGATTTTTATTTTTTTCCCCTTTATCTCATAAAAGCAAGTTTGAGTAAATGATTATTTCAGGGCACAAGATGGTAATAGTAGTAGTTGTAGTAGTAGCCTAATTCATAGTAATAA